TCTCCTGTTTTATGTGTGTGTGTGCGTGCATTTTTAGTTATGTTTGATAGTGTATTTATGTCATAAATTAGGATGATTTGTTGCTGTTATCTTCCAGGAACTTTCTAGTTTTAGCTTTAACATTTAGGTCTTAGATCCATTTTGAGTTAGTTTTTGCTTATGGTCTGAGGTATGAATTCTTTCATTTTTTCTTTTTCCTGCAAATAGGTATCTAATTTTGCATCATTTGTTGAAGAGACTATTTCTTCCCTACTGAATGCACTTCAACCCTTTGTCACAAGATCAACTATCCAGAGTTGGATGGATTTACTTCTGGGTTCTCAATTATGTTCCATTGGTCTGTGTCTGTTGTGGTACCAGTACCTGGCTGTTTTGACTACTGTAGCTATATAGCAAATTCTGAGATCAGTAAATGTGACCTCAGAGGGGCTTCCTCCTTTGTTCCTATTCTTTTGGGGGTTATTGACTGGGTTTGTGTGCATCAGCCTTGGCCTTCTGCATCTCAGAGCAGGAGTGGTCGGCATGGCCAGGCTTGTGTCCCTCAGCATAGGCCATCTGATCATGTGGGCATGACTGAGCTTGTGAACACAAGTGTGAGCAGCCCGTGCCTCCCGCAAGAGATGGTGGGAGGGACCAGGCTTGTGCACCTTGGCTCCATCCACCTGTGCCCAAGGTACACACTAATGCAGATGGCAGGTGGGGTGACTGCTTGCATAGGACTGTTTCTGGTGAGTGAGGTTCTAGTTGTTACTCTATGGGTTGGCTTTTCACTGAGTGCCTTCCATATAAATCACTGGGTGCCCTCACAGACAAACAGTCCCTGCACTAATATCTAGCTCCTTCCCTTTTTGAGCTCTCACTCACTCCCGTGTTCCTCCCCTGCAATTGTGCACTCCCTGTCCACACTTCCTCCTTCTCTAAAGCTCAGAAGACTCAGTCTGTTTTGCTTGCTCTAGAGGCACTTCCCTGTGGTTCCCTGGTTTCAAAGTTCTACGACTCCTGCGCTTCCCTTCCCAGGGGTTCCCCCGCCTTGGCTGTGTCCTTCCCACTTTGTCGTTTCTTTCTAGGGTTGTTTGTGCAGAAGCTCTGCCACCAATTGTGCTATCTTTGTGGTTGCTTTTCTGGGTTCCTCACTCCAGGTTGTTGTTTGATGCCATTATGGTGCTTTGTGTTTTCCTGCTGGCCTTCTTCTGCTTTTCCTTCTAATCAGGACTCAGTCTGTTTTGTCAACTTTTTTTGATGCTCTAGTATCCAAGGTCTTTTTTTGTCATTTTTACTTCGTTTCTTGAGGCTTTGTTGTTAGGTGTCATTACTGTACATGAATCTAAGGCACCCATATTGACCAGAACCAGCTCTCCTCTCATTTTCAACTGTAAGTTTCTCCATCACCCTTACCTTTCAAACAGCCAGCACTCTTACCTTTTTGAAAAGCAGCTTTCACTGAGTTTCACTTTATGTGGTTTATTATACTTTTTTTTTCAGGTATATTTTCAATTTATGCCTCTTCTTTACAGCGAAATGTTTACTAGTTTAGTTAATGCTCTTTTGGTTACAAGTAACAGAACTAATCTGAGAGAGGAAAAGGTTTTATTGTAAGGATATTGTTATCTCCCAGAATATAGATGTATACAACCAACATTTGAAAACGGCAGAATCAGGGTCCCTTGGCAGCAGATTTTTTGGGACTTTCTCTTTAGGTCACACCTACCAATGTTGCCAGCAATTCTTTGTCTGGTGCCCAAATTCCTTTGCATTTGCATCCAATTGGTCCAACCTGAATCATCTCCTAGAGCCAGGGAACAGAAACAAGGCTGTAGGAAATACACTGTGTGGGCAAGTCAGGAAGTACTCAGAGAAAAAAGGACAAACAGCTATTCCAGTAGGTTCCCAGGACAGTGTCACTGGTGAAAACTTTCAGATTTCAAACACATCAGGCTGAATTACTTGAAAAGCATCTTTTTATGCCTTGCAAATCAATCATACTGGGTCTACCTGCAGAACTGACCTGATGCAGGTTTGGGAGGGGATATGTGTGAGGAAGGTCCATTGTTGGTTTCAGAGATGGCAATCCATGACTCATCCCTTAATAATGAAGATAAGCACAGTCTTAGGGAACAGCTAAATCAACTGGTAATAACATAGTTCACAAATGTTCTACATCCTACTGCAGTTAAGTAGTGACTGGGGTCTTAAAAGTTAGTGAGTGGCCCTCTAAGGCACAGCTATTTCTCTCTCCTCATCTGAAACAAAGAAGAGTGAAGAAAATCAAAGCTGCATGGAAACAAATAGTCCAGAGGACTAATGGACCACATGAACTTCAGTCTCCTTGACCCTAAGATCAGAACTAGAGGGTTCCCAGCTCCAAAAGGGATCACAATAAAAGTCCTGGATAGAGTGGAAGAAAAATGTAGAATAAAACTGAAAATCATAAACTAGACCAGCCTACTGGTCTGATAGAGACTGGCAGAACCCCTGAGACTGTGGCCCTTAGACACCCTTCAAACCTGGACTGGAACTCATCCCCATGGCTTAACTTTCAGCCAAACAAAACAGGCCTTTAAGGTGAACAATAATACTAGGCCTCCTTAGAACAATCAACTATGAGCTCAAAAGGGCAGCATTTGACCAGGGATAAAGCTAGGCAGGAAGGGATAGGAAAGGACAAATGCAAACGGGAAACACAAGGAGGATGTGGGACAAGTGCTATTACATTGTGGGGATTGTAATCAGTATCACGAAACAAACTGTATGAATTGTTGAATGGAAAATCAATTTTCTTTGTAAACTTTCACCCAAACCACAATCAAGTTTTTAGAAAATTAATAATGAAGTTCAGGAAGGTGGGGAGAAGGGTCCTATTCTTTGGACAAGTTCCCAGACTGACATTGATGTGTAAGAACTATAAAAATTAAAAAGTAAATAGGGCTGCCTGCATGAAAGCCTTTATGCCCAAATACTACATTAACACCAGGATTTGAGCCCATTTTTCAAGAAAGGACAGGGCCAGGGTGGAGGAAGGAAAATGGTAACCAACAGCCATACTCTTAGGCCTGAAGTGATAAATGAGCTATTAACACTTTAAAATCGATTTCTCCTAGGGAATGAAATTTCCAGCTTCTGAAAAGTAAGATCAAGCCCCACGAGGCCAGTCACATACAACAAAAACAGTTGGCACTGAGTAGCTTCTGCCCTTCTAGACGGGTCAGACTCTCCAGCTTGTCATAGTCCCAGCAAAATTCACTGCCTGACCTCCTGCTCTAGTGGTGTAGTGCCTAAGGCATCTGACTGCTAACCAGAAGCCTGGTGGTACACACCCATCAGCCACTCCAGGAAAGGAAGACTGGGCAATCTACTGCTGTAGAGATACTGCCCCGGAAACCCAAGGAGGGGTCACTATGAGTCAAAATCAACTCAATGGCAGTGAGTCTTTTGAGACCTCCTGCAAGCATGAGTTTGAAATCCACAGGCTAGGTGTCTAGGGCCTATCCAGCTTACTCTCCGACTGTCAGAAAAGCCAGGGTATAAATTCTATTTGGTCAGTACCTTGAAAGTCTTTCTGGTGGCTTCAAGCCCTCTAGATTGCCTGATTAACTGTATAGCCTAATCAGGGACAACAAAATTCAAATAGGAATCTCAAATGAAAGGGCATTTCTGTATATATAATACATGTAAATTTCCTAATCTTGGGTCCATTAGCTGGACTATAGTCTTCCTTAGTTTGCATCCCAGATTCTTTAAAATAGGAATTAAGAACAGATAGTTTTTTTCCCTTGTGGGCCAATGTCCTAACACCTGATAGTAATAAGGTGGTGTATATGTGCTGAGAAAAGGTTTGTTCTTGTCTCACTGTGTTTCTCATCCAGGGTCAGGGTAAATGCTGCATACAGTACTGATCAAGGACTTAGGCCCTGGGGTCAAATGCCTGTGTTCACATCGCACTCAGAGACCTTGTGCAACCTAAGTAGTCATTTCCTCATATGAAAGTGGTTGTAAGGGGTAAAGAAGGTAGCTCTACACAGTATGCAATTAACAAGTTCCAGAACAGAGGAAGCACTGAATATATTCCTAATCCATATTGCTTGAGATGTACCATACTCAGACCCATTAATCAGCTCACACATTTAATCAGAGGATTTGGGCAGCTGCAGGACTATTTCCATCGATGATCTTCCCTGTAAGCAGTGCTCTATCTAGACAGAGGCGGCAACATCTGCTAAGAATTCTAGTCCCATTTGCAGAGGGCAAGATTTCTTTCTGGCTGGTTCGATCCACGGATCTGTCTCTCTGTCGGGCTTAGAAGTCTTTCTCCACACTATGCCTGTGCGACTTCTAGATCACAAAATTTCAAAGAAGTTGTCGGTTTGGTCTGGGTCCCCTAGGAGTGGGGCTTCTGTACTCAAATAATCCGAGTCAGGGTTCGGAGCCGCGCACAGTGCCCGGAATGACCCGTCAACGCCAAAACCCGTGTTGAGCCCAGAAATGGGAAGAGACGACCTTAGCAGGGCTTAGGAGTCTGCGCCCGGGCCCCTCCGGCTACCTGGTGGTGACTTCTGGCGGTCCTGGAGGCCGCGGCGCAGCTCCTGGTTGAAGGTGTCTTTGAAGCGGACAGCTCGGCGGCCCAGGGAGCATGCGGACCCAGGGGCGAGACTTCGCAAGCGACGGGCTGCGTCCTGACCGCGCAGCTGGGCCTGCAGCAACGCGAAGGCCGTGAGCTGTGCGGCACGCCGGATGGGCCGCGACTCGGAGAGACGCTCCACCAACTGTGGACTGTGCAGCAGGGCAGCCAGCAGCCGCCGAAACACCATCCTCTCCGAAGGGCCGCGGAACCCGTAGCACGTCGCTCTAGCCTTCAGATCGGCGACGCCCGACCGAGGACCGCATCTGCGCCCGCGCCTCCTGATGACGATACTGCTGCCTTCCCATTGGGCCCCAGGATTTCCGCTTTCTCTGCTTTCTGCAACAGCCTCCTCGCGTTTCCGGTTCCGCCACCGCTGTCGCCGCCGCAGTGTCCGTGTTCCCGGATTCGCGGCGTCTTCGTCCACCTCTTTGCACTATGTCCGGTGGCCTCCTGAAGGCGCTGCGCAGCGACTCCTACGTAGAACTGAGCCAGTACCGGGACCAGCACTTCCGGGTGAGAGAGGCCGGGCCGCCCAGAGGACGGCCCTAAGTCGAAAGCTGAAAAACGGTTTACTCTTGTCTCATCGTGTCGTCTCTTACCCTGCTGGTGTCACGAGACGCGAAGTAAGGCCGCAGTGCCGGCCTTTCGGGAAGCAGGGAATGGATTCTGGAAGGGTGTTTGTATTTCTTCCTTGAAGTCACTTCTCATTAAAAAGGAGTTTGGAGCATGCTTTCCTACTCCCTTACAGCCCTCCCTTTACCCGGGCCAATGCAAAAGTGTTGGGCCCGTAGTAGTAGTCGTCGTCGTGGTTGGCAGTAGTAGTACTAGTTCGCATTTTCAGGGCCTGTGCCTTGGGGAGGTGATTTTGAGATAAGGGGCAGGGCTGACTGGTTGACTCGGGGAGTATGTGGAGGCCCGGGCTTGTTTGCGAGCATTATTTCTAAAATTAAATCAGGGAAACAATACCCTTTGGCGCTTTGTCCTTTTCCTGGTTTACCCGGACGAGACACAAAATTGAGCCCTGCTTGCGCTTTCAGGGTGGGGAAGTGAACCAGCCCAGTAAGGCGCGTAGAGGATGTCTAGGTGTCACGATCAGAGAATTCCTGGATTTTAGAAAAGGAAATTTTTACGTTAAGCTATGTCAGAATACATTTGTGGTGGAGAGGAAGGCTGCAGAATTTAGATACATACTTAGGGTAGGCTTTTCAGTATCAACAAAGGCCAGGAATGGCCGGGATGGAGTGTGAGTGGGGTAAGTAGGAGAGAATTTCATTAATCTAGTATTTAGTTTTTCATTGGGTTTATTGGGTGCTGGTACCGAAACCTGCTAAACCATAAAGGAAAGGTGAAGACAAGTTTCTGTACCCTAAGCTTTCACTCTCTTACAGTAGGGATAGTGAATGGAAGCAAGTAATCAATTTAGAGCGGAAACGATGAGCACAGAGGGAGGGATTGTGAGGATTCAAGAAAGGGAGAACCCTGTGACTGGTTGGAGGGGAGCACGTGTAGGAGAGAGTAGGCATGGAGAATGTATAAACTGTCAGGGCAGGGAAATGGAACTTTCGTATGAGGCAGAATTAAAGATGATTTTAAACTTATTCACTGGGTCAACGGTTTTTAAATGCTTAACTGTGTGCTAGGCTTCATTTTCACTTCTACCACTTTACAGTTCTCATTACTTTATTACAACCATCTTGAATTTAAACCATCCTTCAAGATTAAAACGGAATGGACTCAATTTTGCCGTTATTCATCTCTGCAGTCTAAAGCTTATAGCCTTTGTTGTTGTTGTTGTTATATGCCGTCGAGTCAGCCCTGACTCATAGCGACCCCTCCTTGGGTTTCCGAAGCAGTATCACTACAGAAGTAGGATTGCCCAGCCTTCCTTCCGAGGAGTGGCTGGTGGGTTTGAACCGCCAGCCTTCTGGTTAGCAGTCAAGTGCCTTAGCCACTATGCTACTAGAGACTCCTTTATAGCCTTTAGATAGTAGTAAAACACAGTCATGCAGAATGTTCCTTGAATGAAATGCACGTTAATATCATAACTTAAGAAAATACTTAAACCACAGTTGTCTTAAGCCATAAAATGGACCTTAGTTAACTAACATGTGAGAAAAGTAGAAAGAAAAGTGAAAATGCCTCCTGATCATAATTTTAACAAATCAATAATAGCAGTGATAAAAAGTTAATCTACTTTCCCTAATGTCTCATTCCAAAGTTCTGAAAACCTATTTTAAACATAGAACGTTTATTCTTCTGTGGACTATCTTAGGCAGTATAGCATTAGGGATTAGATTGAGTTTGAATTTCAGTTACAGTTACTAAGTAGCTCTATGACCTGGATAGGTTACTAATTTTTTCAAGTGTAAAGTGGGGATAATAAATTAGGACCTGCCTCATATAGTTGTTCTAAGAATTAAGTGAGACATCATACATAAAAGTATGACTTGCAGTCCCATAATTCTTCCCAGAGGTAGATATAGTTATCAGTTCATGCTTTTAAAAACTACATTTTGGAGCATACTCTTCACATTGTTCTGTACTTTTTTCACTGCATTGTCTTGGAGCTGTTCCATATCACTGCATGTAGATTTTGCATGTACAATTTTCTCAGGACTGCATAGTTTTACACTGATGTGTTACATTTTTTAAATCAGTTTCCTTTTGATGTGAGTTTAGATGTTTTCCCTGTTTCTCTAATCTACCACTGACTATGATCACATGAGACCTATCACGTTAGCATTGTGCTGCAAAGCATTCAGAGATGAGTAAAGCAAGGTCATATACTGAAGAATGAAGGAAAGTGGACCAGCATTATATATGGAAGGCTCTTGGGAAAGTGCTCTGTGGGGACTCAGTATGGATCTGCCTACTTTCTAAGCTGGAATACCAGTTAAGTGTAAAAACAGTCATCTTAAATACAAACTCAGTATGTAGTATGGTTCATGTTAAAGTCCTACCTGCATCAGGAGGGCCTGAGAGCAGGCCAGCTGGCAGACCTTTTATTAAAATGCATTTGTCCTCCTCACTGTGGAGGCCAGAAGAGAACGTCCACAGATGACCACACTGGTTTCTGTGGTAGTATCTAAGTTACCTTGTGTAGCCTATAAGGAGACATCTTGCTTCCAGGAATGGCCAGGTGTTTTTGCTGAAACTTAGTTATACTTCTGTCTCTGGCTTTATCTTGTCTTCCAAATTAGGAAGCCCAACAAGAATGTGAGATCTCTTTTGTTTTAGTGATTACAACATTTTCTCCTAAACTCAGAACATAGGAGCATGTAAACTATCAAAGCAGTTGTTGTTTTTGAATGGTCTCTATAGGAGCAGTGAATTACTTAATGTGGCTCTTCTAGCCATGATCTTTGTCACTCCCACCAGATGGCTGGGTGGAACTGTGCAAATGTAAGGTGCTTATGGCCCACCAAGAAGATGGGATAGTTTGACAATAATGTAAATAAGGTACGTGGTGCTTTTGTGGGGATAATTACAAACCTAATTCACTGCCATTGAGTCAATTTCAACTCATAGCAACCCCCCTTCGGTTTCCAAGGTAGTATCACTGCAGAAGTAGATTGCCCAACCTTCCTTTTGAGGAGTGGCTAGTGGGTTTGAACTGGCCAGTCTTCTGGTTAGCAGTCAAATGCCTTAGGCATTGTGCCACCAGAACTCCCCTTTGTGGGGATGGAACTGTGCAAATAAGGTTTATGGAACACTCCTCAGAAGGAAGGTTGGGCAATCTACTTCCGTAGTGATACTGTCTCGGAAACCCAAGGTGAGGTCGTTATGAGTTGGGTCCGACTCGATGGCACATAACAGCAACAATGTGGGGATTGGTCAGTTTTTGCCATTCTAGGCTTCAAATGAGCCATCCTAGAGGCTGAAGGGTGGGGGTGGGGTGGGTGGGGGAAGGATGGATCGTACTACCAGCAAGAAAGCAGCCAGGAGTGGAGCATATCCTTTGGACTGAAGATCCCTGCATTGAGACGAAGAGAGATGGAAGGCTGCATAGGCAGCAGAACCAAGCGAATGGCATGATGTGGAGCGGTGAGCTTGCTGGTCTGGAGCAAGAAAGTGAGTGCCTTTGGGCAGGAGGCTTGCTGGTGGAGTGAGGTGTACCTACAGCCGAGCTAATAGAGCTTTGTCATATTTGCCCAAGTAGGGCGGAGGCAAGGCCAAAGGCCAGAGAGAGGCGTGCCTGTGGGCATGGCCAATGGGAGGCTGTCCTGATAGAAGAATTCTATACTGAGTGTTCCTGAACCAGAATTGTAACCTGTTGCTTCCCTCATCAACCCCATAATCCTGTGGCCATTGCAAGGAATTATCAAACTCATTAGAGAAGTAGAGAGGGATGGTTGGTGTCAGTATTGGTAAAAAGGTTGGAGAGCAGTAGCATGTCTGACATCATAAGAATCAGCCTTGGACTGTTACTGGTGGTGATTTTCCCTCCCATTTGTGAAGTTAGAGGAGTTTGGAAGATGCTGCTCCCACACCTTTTTTGCAGGAGTATTACAAAGAAAACCCTATCTTTGGGAACCATTTATCTTTCACCATAAAGGAAAAAAGAACCCTTCCTGATACTGATCCAAGGTCCAGAATTTAATCATGTGCCATTAGAGGATACAATGCTGCAGTGGTATAGAAGTTTGGTTGCCTTCAGTGTAACTGGCAAGTCTTGACCCTCTACTAAAAGCATTCTGGACCTTGTATTATTTTTTTTTTTTAATTTTAAGAGCTTGGTTTACATTCAAAGTCACACGTACATTTAGTTTCATTTCCCATTCACCATGTCCAACCCTAACCAGTCTTCTCCCCTCCCTACCCTGCAACACTCCCCCTGTGCCTCTCATAATTACTCACTCCTGTTTGTCCTGCATTTCCTCAGTTTGAATGTTGGTCCTTTGGTGTCCCATGGTTTATTGCTTTATGGGATGTATTACCATTGAGTGTGTGTGGGTGCAGCATCCTGGGTTGAGTGGTCTGCGTGTATATCTCACTAACCATTGGGCTGAGAGCTCGCCCCTGGGAGTGAGTTTTATTCCAGGTGCTGAATGTATTTCAGGGCAATAGTATTGGGAGTAGGAGCTCTGGTAGCATAGTGGCTAAAGCACTTGACTGCTAACCAGAAGGCTGACGGTTCAAACCCACCAGCCACTCCTCGGTAGGAAGGTTGGGCAATCCTACTTTCGTAGTGATACTGCCTCGGAAACCCAAGGAGGGGTTGCTGTGAGTCGGGGCCGACTCGACAGCACATAACAACAACAACAGTATTGGGAGTTGCACCAGACTTCATCTGACCAGTAATTCTGGTCATTATTGAGTTTTTGGATTTTGTTGCATGTTTTCCTTCCCACTCTATCCAGGATCTCCAGATTTGATCCTTTCCTGAGTGGTTGGCATTGGTAGCCAGGCACCATCAGGTTCTTCTGGTCTTGAGGGCCATCACGTCCTAGGGTTGATTGCTTCTAAATGCCCTTGTGTGTTTTTTGTGTGTGTGCGTTCTTCTTCACTTCCGATGCTAGGAGATGATTAGCTGCATCTTCGATGGCTGCTTGAAAGCTTTTAAGACCCCATTCGCTACTCACCAATGTAGGATGTGGAGCAATGCTTTTATGTATTTTGTTGTGCCAATTGAGTCTGATGTACCCCAGTGGACCTTGTATTAATTATTTCATAGAATGCAACTCCCCCCCCCCTTTTTTTTTTATTTTTATTGTGTTTTGGGTGAAGGTTTACAGAGCAAATTCATTTTCCATACAGCTGTTCATGCACATTTTGTCTCATAACATTGACTGCACCTCCCCACAATGTAACAGCTCCCTTTCCCCCTCCCTTTTTTAAAAAAACAAACAAACAAACAAACAAAAAAAACCCAAGAGATGTGTGGTGGATTAGGATGTTGAGAACAGCTGATTCCCAAATCAGAATTAATGAAAGTGTTTACTAAGGAACCCTGAGCAGGACCACTTTTAGGTTGTATTGCTTAACTTTGTCTCTGTTTGAAATTCTAGGGTGACAATGAAGAACAGGAAAAATTACTGAAGAAAAGCTGTACGCTATATGTTGGAAATCTTTCCTTTTACACCACTGAAGAACAAATCTATGAACTCTTCAGCAAAAGTGGTGACATAAAGAAAATCATTATGGGCCTGGATAAAATGAAAAAAACAGCGTGTGGATTCTGTTTTGTGGAGTATCCTTCTTGTATGTCTAATGTAGCTGCTGAAGCAGGGCAGAGCTGAGTGGATGGTTGCCTGTTTAGTGAGATTATTTATTAGCATTCCCATGCTTTTCTCTCTCTACCTCCTTCCCTCATCTAGCTCCTTCTTTCTCAAGTCCATGCTCTTAAGCTGTGAAAGCTGGTAACATTCTATTCTATAATCCATGCTTTGTTGATGGCTGATTCTTTAAGAAAAACAATCTCTTGAAAATAATTTTTTTTCCCCAAGATTCATGGAAACAATTACATCGGCAGCCTATATGACTATGTGACCAGAACTAGATGGTACCCAGCTACAACTGTCAATCACTCGGAGGGAGATCTGTGTAGGAGATCCTGGATAGAAAGGGAGAACAATGTGGAACAAAACTAAAAATCATTTGGGGAAAAAAAAAGGGGGGGGGGGACCATGTTTGCTGGTCTGATAGAGCCTGGTGGAACCACTGAGACTATGGCCCTTAGCTGTCCTTCAGGTCTGGAATTGATGTGGCTTCCAGCCAAACAAAAGACAGGCATATGAGTTGAACATTTACCTGAGGTAGATACACTCCTTGGAGAGAATAAGCATGAGAGAAAGAAGGGTTGTTTATGCACAGGGAGACAGCTCAGGGCAGGAGTGCATGGAAAGATGGACACAGGGAGGAGGTAAGTATCAGGAGGAAGTGGGAGGGGAGCTGTTGCATTGTGGTAAATTATAGTCAATGTCATGAGACAAAAGCGTATGTGAATTGCTGTATGGAAAGTGAATTTGCTCTGCATAATTTCACCCAAATCACAATTAAAAAAAGCCCCAGAAGAGTAGTTAAAATAAAATTCCCATACCATTCCAAACCCCTAATTTCCTTCCCTGCCCGGTTACCAATTTATTGGATATCTTTCTATAAACAGTCCTTTGGATGTGAAGTTAACATACTGTATGCACTGTTAGGTTCCCCCCCCCCCTTTTCTTAGAGATTGTTCCATGTCAGCACCTGTAGGTCTCCCTCTTATTTAAATGGCTTTATAGTATTTCATTATGTAGATGTATATAGATTGATTTTACAGATAAAAACAAAAATTTTATTCATTTATTCTCGTCCCAGGAATTATAAATATTGAACTCCAAGATATATCCTTTGGGTCTTTTTAGTAATGTTTTCTTTTTGTATCATTTTGTTTTATATTCTGAGGAATATTTTCTAGACCAGATGTAATGTATCTTTTGAATTTTTTTTTTTCCTGTGCTATTAACTCTCTTCTGTCAATTCAGTGTTGCTTTCTTTTTTTGTTGTATTTTATGCTATAATTGTCCTCAAATGTCTGATTCCTGGCTTACTATTTATAAATTAGGGAAGAGAGCTAACTCTGGACCTGGGCAGGACTTCTCTCTAAAGTTCCCGGGTTGCCTTTATGATATGAGAGTTTCTCATGTGCTAGAATGAAAAGGGATTTTATTTTTATTTTTGTCTGCTAACATCAAAGATCTGTCCTAATTCCTCTGGATTGTTCATTAAGAAGCCTGTCATTTTGTTTTTATTTATCTGGGTTAAATGCCTTCCTGCTTACAGGTGCTTCTTCCCACAGAGACCTTTAAGTAAGTCTTATTTTTTTAAAAAACAGCCTTGTTTTTTATCTAATTTTGAATTAAGAGTCTCCTGGGATTGCTCTAACAGCACAGTTGTTAAGGAGTTGGCTGTAACCAGAAGGTCAGCAGTACAAACCCACCAGCCACTCCATGGGAGAGGGATGAGGCAGTCTGCTTCGGTAAAGATGACAGTGTTGGAAGCTCTATGGGGCAGTTCCGCTTTGCCCTACAGGGTTGCTATGAGTTGGAATCAACTCGAAGGCAGTATTTTTTTTTTTTTTGGAGGGGATGGCTGTCTCCTTCTCTAAGCCATTCCAGAATATTTCAGCTTGTGACTTTTGTTTCATCAGTTAGCACTCTTTTATCAGCTTTGACCCTTTTGCCTGTTGCTGGCCTCTTCCATTCTTCAGGTTTGTTTCTTTTCTCTGTCTTCACGGAGGTCTTAATTAGAGAAATGTGTTCAGTGTATTATCATCTTGAACCTGAAGCCCTGTTCCCCACTTTTTTCTATCTGGTTGCTGGGTTAATTCCATTCTCCCTCCAAACAAAAGGGAGCAGATTGCCCAGGTTTTGCTTTTGCCTCTGGTTGCAGTAGTGTAAAGGAACTTACAGGGCCTGGGGTGGGGTTGGAGGGGGAAGCTAAGAAAATCCACCTAGTAAATAATCAGTCTGAAAAACAGAGTTTTTATGCTTGCCTCAGAAGTCAGAGATCAGCAGTGACGATGGCAGTGTCCTAAAGCTGCTGTTGCCAGCTAGTTTTTGCTCAAATTTTTCTCTCCAGCATTCATTTAGTAAGTTCAGTAAAAAGTTACTAAATGCCTGCTGTTTGCTAGGCCTTATCTAGGTTCTGGATACTGAAATGTTACCAAGTATTTCCCTACCTCTGTAATTAAAGACAAGAAAAAAATTCAGAGCTGCATTTTCTAAACCTGGCCAAATGGTCATCGTTGCTTATAGGGATTTTTTAAAATACCACTCAAGAGATACATTTACTAGGTGGGGACTGCTTGCTGAGTGATACTCTGAGTCTCTCCTAATGAAAGGCACTGACCTTTTATTAAGTTCTTAAATATTGTTAGTAGCCATTAAGTCAGCTAACTTGTGGCAACTTTCTGGACAACATAATGAAAATTCCCCACTTCAGCACTATCTTCATCCCAACTGATGATCATCCCAATTTTGATGTCACAGTTTTCTGGGATAAGGCTGTGCACAGTAGTGGTTGAGCCTGCATTGAATATATTTTGTAAATCAAACTGTTGAGATCAGTGGGACCAAATAATTGTTAACAAGATTATCCAGGAAGGCATGATCAATACAGCCATATGGAAATATAGTATTATGAGTACCTCCAGACCTCAAGCAGGCCTATGGAAGCAATTATTGTTGTTTTTAGACTCTTAAGTGGTTGGATATATTTTTTGTACTTTTCTTACAACTTAGCTTCATTTAAATGTTACTTTCTGTGTTTCCAAAAACATTTGGAGAAACTACTATATAGTGTTCCTTAATACTTAAGATACTATTCAAGAGCAGATGCAGAAAATGCCATGCGGTATATAAATGGAACTCGTCTGGATGACCGGATCATTCGCACTGACTGGGATGCAGGCTTTAAGGAGGGCAGGCAGTATGGCCGTGGGCGCTCTGGGGGCCAGGTAAGCAGGCAGCCCTTACCTGGGTTTCCGGTCCCAGTGACGTGTTTCATCGCTTTGTATTTACTCATTAAAAACAATTTCGTGTCTATAACTTTGGCTTGAAATGAACTTGAGACCCACCCACTGGGATTGGTAAATTGTTTTCAAATCATGAGATGGAGTATTCTGTACATCCCCTAAGCAAGATTACTGAATCTCTACTATGGGCTTGGTAGTTTTCTACCTACAAGAGTGCTTGGGACAAAAGCAAAATGTACTGAGTTTCAAGTTTTCATTTTAAAACAAAGGGCTTAATTTAAGTACATATTCTTTGGAACATGCTTTTTTGAGCACTGGTGAACATGAGCCTCTGTTTGGCAAAAACTCATTAGGCTTACTTTGATAACTTTGCAGGGCCATTGAGCTTTGTATCAGTTGTTCAGAAAAGTTAAGTCCAGTTTGAATGCTCACATTCTGACATCTGAGAATTTAGCTCTTTGTCTGGTATGTTTGTGAGAATCTTAGTTGCTACACCATTCTCCTCTGTACTGTAACTTGTGTCTTCAATTAAGGTACGAGATGAGTATCGACAGGACTATGATGCTGGAAGAGGTGGCTACGGAAAACTGGCACAAAACCAGTGAGTGATGAGAGCCCCACCAGTGAAACACTCACTCCTTTGGCCTGTTGAATTTGTTGAAGAGTGGTACCCAAGGTCTGCAACCCAGCCAGCCCACTTTACCACATGTCGATCACTGCTGCTCCTGAGCTGAAAGCTCCTTCATGGTTTACCTCTCTGAAAATTATTAAAGGACAGAATCCAAAATTTCAGTCTTAGAATCTTGGCCATGTGTCAGGTTACTTACTAGAATAGTTTTCTGTTACTAGGTCAAACATTGTGTTTCTTAGAGACATATTGGATCTATTGTGTTGATTAATCTATTAGCCAAAAACATCACATCTTTTTTAGGAGGCCTGGAAAAATTTTTAAATTTGTTTTAAAATTCATTTTACTGAGTCTCAATAGGTTTATAATTTATATTGGGGCCTGGAATTTTTTTAAAGTTTGCATGAGATAAAAGTTTAATAATTGGGGCTTTTCTGTGTGTTGCATAGCTTTGCTCTAAATTAAGAATGGATGTTGGACAACTGAATTTGTTTTCTGTGTTAAATTCTAATCTCTAAAAGCCAACTTAGAGGTCAAGGGACCTTCCTAAATAGTGCAGAAGCAAGCCTTGGACAGTCCCAGGAGACACTACCTGCTTCCACACTTGCTGTGGTCCATCAGGAAATTTTGGTATAGGACATGAAGGGGATTCACTAAACACATTTTTCATAAGATACAAATGTTATACCAAAAGCTAAAGAAAGCAAGACTTTGTGTTATGGAGAACCTCAAGTACTCTGAAAGGGGAGAGGGGGCAGGACTGTCAGTTGGAAGTGGGATGACATACCAAGGGATATGAGTGAAATTATCCAGGTTGCTATCAGGGCTGTCAGATTTTTCATTTTCATTTTCAGAGTGATCTTGGGAACAGAGTAGGTTTAAAAAAGAGCTTGAAGATCAGGAAAATGCTTAACAAAAAGCAAACAAACAGACAAGCTTTCCACAGGAAATACCTTTTTGAGCCAACTCTCATATTACAGTCTTTTGTCTTTGCCATGGAAAATGAATTGTGCTGAGGAACAGCCTTAACAACAGTAAGCTGATGGTTGCTTTAGAGATGGGAGTCCAGAGAATTTATTTTGTATTTATAAGGCAACAACTGATTGATATTCTTTATGAGCTGTTGCTCATGAAGAATGCTAATCCAGTGTAATTTTTCCTGATAAGAGTCCAATTTTTCATCTAGCAAAAAAGTATCTTCTAATTGCTAATGGTTTTTGAAAGTTGGGGCTGACGTAACTTAATGTGAACATCCTTCTCTCACGTTACAGTATCTAGGTTTTCTCATTAAATTCAAATTGCTTATCTGATAAAAGCTGTAAAACTAGTTGTAAAAGCTTAAGAAACTTAATGAGGATAGCCTACTGTTTTTCTAATTTCTTTTTACACTGTTTCAGCTAATATATTTTATATTCTTTTATAGTAAAATGTTAACAGATCTCTGCCCACCTTAAAACCACAAATAGTGGTTCCTATTTGAATAGCATCTTCTGTGACAGGTCACCTTTCAATAAAATTGGACCAACTTATTGTGTTTTGTTTTGTTGTTTTTTTTTTTCATTATAAAGAAGGCTCACTATTGGAGCACCCTAAACCTGAAACCAGAAGGCTGGCAGTTCAAACCCACCAGCCACTCCTCAGAAGGAAGGGTGGGCAATCTACTTCTGTAGTGATACTGCCTCGGAAACTCAAGGAGGGGTCGCTATGAGTCGGGGGCCGACTCAATGGCACATAACAGCAACAAAACCTGAAACATCTGTTGATGAGTTTTTGGGAAAAAAAACCTATGAATAATAATAATCTATGAGAATTTGCATTTTAATGTGACAGTTGGAGCTAGCTATGGCTTCATATGGAGAGAGAGTGGCTATTCTTGATAAATGATAAAAAGATGTAACAAGGGACTTAATATTCTTTATTTGTTAGTGAAGTTAGTTTTCACAACTTAATACTCTTTATTTGTTAGTGAAGTTAGTTTTCCAGAAAGCATCTCTTTCAGATGATGGGGGTTGGGGTTGAATTAAGAGGAACTGCATCTGATTAGCTGAAGTATCTTCTACTCAAGATGGTTACTATTTTAAGAGTTTAGGAAAAATTCCAAACTTGAGACTTGTAATTGCTTTCCAGCAAAGCTACTCAACATGATAGCCACTGGCCATCATGGCCATTTAAATAAAATGAAACATTCTGTTCCTCAGTCACACTAGCCATATTCCAGGTACTCAGTGGCCACATGTGGCTAGTGGCTGTCGTAGTGGACACAGAGCATTTTGTTTATCACAGAAAATTCTGTTGCACAATGCTGTTTAAGGTTAGATTGCTTGAGGCTTATACTGGTTGTGTTTATGAACACTGTTCATAAAAGAGTCTCGTGACTGAAATGTCACTGGGGAAAATTCATACTCACCAAATAGTATATGTTATTCAACATAAGAGGACAAAAGTTTATAAAGGCATTTAGTTTATTTTCAAAAAAATATTCTGCTAGAAGGGTTGAGTACTGTAATTTTACATAACAATCTTTAAATAAATTCATTTTATCTGACCAATAGGTACCATTTAAGTGAACAACTTCTCTAGGTCTGTTTTTGTAACACCCAAATACCAATCAGCACTTCTCTGATGGCATTCCCTATGTCCTCTTAATTATCTACAGGCCAGGAGGCAGAGCCAAACACATAACAAAGTATATGCTTAATAACTGCTGATGGAATTCAGTTTCTTAACATGAATAAGCAGAGCAGGTAATCAGTAATATCTAATTCATACTATTGCCTGAATGATCTGACCCACGCAGAGTCCCCAATATCTCTTCTAACCCAGTGAAGCAGCAAACCACAACTGCAGAGCAAAAGGGCAGTTCAGCTAAGGCTATGCTGGCTGTGTCCCAGTTAGGCCTGTTAGGTTTTTATCCCAACTGTGAATTCAAGGTGACCTGTGTTACTCGTATTCAACGGTAAGTAGAAGATGCAATGCAAAGTCAAAAAGTAACTGGGAATTATCAGTAGCAGTTGCTGCTTTTCCCTTCCTTTAAAGGTTGAGTCTGATTCTTGAGAGAACTAAGAGTTGTATTAAATGTACATTACTTGCTATAAGATTTAATAAAGGGAAAACTCACTGGAAAGAAGTAACGAGCCTGGTAAGCATGCTGATGGAGGGACTGGGCAGCTTGCTGAAGGCACATCATAAGTAGGTTTTAGTTTGTACCAGGCCTGCACTCAACCCCAATAGCATAAGATCTGCCTACCCACCTTGTGGGTACTCAAACAGTGCCAAGCTAGTGACAGTGAAGGAATGCCTGTCCTGTTTACCAACAGCCCAGAATCCATTTCAAAAAGGACTGTTGCAAGAAAGCAATTACTGCAAACTATCAGGACATTCTAATCTAAGACTTAGGCTAAAGAGAAGTCTACACCTAAGAATGGGTGGGGGAGTGACTGCTGAAACCAAGGCAGAAAAGCATTTTAAACAGACTTAACATAATCAACATTTAGGCTAAACCATGATGGACAATTTGCCTCAAAGTGCCCCAATAAGCTTGATGGGAAAGAGTAAGTGGACTTGGACAGCTCCCCGAAGGTTCATAACACATATCCCTGCATCACACAACCCTGTCAATGCTGCCGTGACAACCGTCTTCAGATAGGAAATGGCAGCTCGAGCTCGAGCTCTGGCCGTTAGTTAAGATTCCTGGCAGAACAAAATGCTTTGTCTCTTCTGCATGCCTGGTTCTATCAGTGAGGAAGAGATATTGAGTTCCAAAACACAAGACATTTTGAACTGACAGACTAGTAGTTACTGGCTACTTTGGTATAGCACCCCCACTGCCCGCAACCCTCCCCCCAAAAGTTACCAGAGCAAAATGTCTTGCATAACATTTGAAAAACCTCATGTTTGCATACTTATGTCTAAAAAACCTCAAGAACATTACTCCACTTTAAAACTCATTTTTAATGCTGACTGACACCCCCTACCTGTAGCAGCACAAAGTGCCTCCAATCTCAAAATTCTTTTGATGACGTGAAGCACAATATGAAATACTGACCTGGTTTTCTACCAAGGAGTTTTTTGAGTCTGGAGGACTCAGGAGAGGAAAGTGCTGGGGCTATTTCCCAATGTAAACACTGGTGTTGGTGCTTGGAATGTCCAGGGACGGGAACCTTGCATGTAAACATGTTCCAACTCAACCCCTGACCACTGGCAGTCAGCCTTCTCTCAGCCCTACGTGATGGCCAAGTTAAACTGCACATTTTAGTTTATAATTTTCAACACCCCACACCTAACTGGATATAAAATTCAAGTATCTTCTACCGTTTACTTGGTATTTTTCTGTACAAGCTTCTGAGTTTCCTATATACACATTTGTTGTTTTCCCCCGGTTCAGAAAAGACAACTGGGTAGGTTTAACATGTATCTTTGCTTCTCTTTCAAATATATTTCAAAAGGCCAGATTAAAGATGCAAGATCCATTACTTTAAATCCTAATGCAGCCAGACGTAGGTAAAAGGCTGCTCTGCCTTTCCCACAATGAAGTTCTTCACAGGAGAGACCTGTGTAGGAGAGTCAGCTTCCCAAGGACCCTGTACACTACTGCAATCAACCAAGAGCCATGAGAAAATTCTAACACTGGTTGTGCTCCCATGGAATCAAGTCTATTACCTTCCCTCTTCTCTCCTCCCCACTCACCTGCAAAAGCCCTGAAGTCAGTTTTCAATACATAAAGTTGAAAACATTCATTTTTTTAATGTTACATCATTTTAAATGTCCTTGAAATAGAAATGCAATTGGTAAATCAATTTCATCCATAGGGAGGCAACACAAAGGAAATAACAACTTACAAATCACTCCTTTGAAAGCTGAATTCTCATTTGATCATTAGTTTGATGGACATTCAGCTTTTTAATAGGCCAGAACCAGAAAAATCCAGGACATCCAATGGCCCAGTAAAAGCCTTCATAAGATTTAGGCATTTGTTACAATTCTTAAAACCAAGACTAAATCTCTCATTTGCTAATGGGCCCCCAAGGTTGCTATCT